AGTGGAAGCGTTTCTTCATTTCTGGGTCACCATACCTGGGTGGGAGATGGCCAATGTGTTAATTAGGTGAAAGGTTTAACCCCATAGGGTGTTAGTCGACTGGTGTGAGTTGCATCCTGGGGGACAAGATTGAGGACCCTAGTGGAAATAAGACAGACAGTCCTTGATGACCCACTGCCTTTCTTGGGTTATCCTGGGTGGTTAACCCTGCGGGGTTAAAAATTCGAACGAAATCGTATAGGAGTCAAACGGTGCTTGAAGGATGAGGCGGAAATCAGATTTGATTCAAGAGAAGATAGTTCCATTTTCTTGGATCAAGAGCCCTTCACTGGCATCAGTGCACTTCCCTCAAGAGGAATTTGTTAATACATGAATCATACTAATATACGATGATATAAACAATTACAGTGGACCCCCGGATAACGATATTTTTTCATTCCAGAAGTATGTTCAGGTGCCAGTACTGACCGAATTTGTTCCTATAAGGAATATTCTGAAGTAGATTAGTCCATTTCAGACCCCCAAACATACACGTACAAACGCACTTACATAAATACACTTACATAACTGGTCGCATTGGAAGGTGATCGTTAAGCGGTGGTCCACTGTATTATCGTTCAGTTTATTAAAATCAAAATCAGAGATGCCTTGATGCTAGTGAAAGGTTCTCGATCCAAAGAACTGAAGCTACTCTACCTTTCCTTGCACTGAATCTGCTTACTTCCCACTCCCAAAGCTGCTGTGTGATCCCTATGGGTTTAGTGGTCTCCTTATAGATGAAAAGTATTAAAATCCACAAAAACTATTCTGCTGGTTGTCTTTAGAAGCCAATAATGCATAATGCAACTGAACTGATAGATTGAGATGTATTAAAATAAACTTGTCTGTGTATTTAGCTGCATCATATGGATTATCATCATATATTTTTTCAGTCCTCGGCTTCAAATGCCGAACCTTAATGGTAGGAGGCACGACTCTCATCACCGGTCTATGGTTGTTGGTACATCGTTATTATTAGCACTAACTTCATCTGTGCCATCATGTGAGTTAGGGATATAACATTTCTTAAGTGATTTGATAATTTCTCTTTGGATTTCATCCCAAGCTTCTGCAATCCATATTCACAATGTTGGAGCCCTTATACTGCCTCCTTTGATATGTCTTCTCTTGTTTAGAGCCCTTATACTGCCTCATTTGATATGTCTTCTCTTGTTTAGAGCCCTTATACTGCCTCCTTTGTTGTGTCTTCTCTTGTTTAAAACCCTTATAATGCCTCCTTTGTTGTGTCTTCTCTTGTTTAGAGCCCTCATACTGCCTCATTTGATATGTCTTCTCTTGTTTAGAGCCCTCATACTGCCTCCTTTGGTATATGTCTTTCCTCACTTCATCAAGAATAATAGTCACATTACCATACCTGGAACAATTCACAAATAACTCATAGTTGGAGAAACTTACGACTACATTTCGGTCCATCCTGGCAGACCAAAATGTCATCGTGAGGGCTACTTGTGAAGGGACTCGTATCATCTAACTGTTCAGTTTTAGTCTCATATTATCCATGAAAGCTCCATGGGGTAGTGGAGACGAACCCTTCCTCTGTAAGCCATGCATGTCGTAAGAGGCAACTAAAATGCTGGGAGCAAGGGGCTAGAAACCCCTTCTCCTGTATACATTACTAATTGTAAAAAGAAAATCTCAGGTTTCTTTTTAGGTCACCCTGCCTCAGTAGACGATGGCTGGTGTTGAAAAAGACTACCAAAATGTTTCTTTTTGGGTCACCGTGCCTTAGTGGGAGATAGCCAATGTATTAAAAAAAAATTATTCACGAAAGGTTTCTTTATAGACATCCAATGGTTATAAAAGGCTTGTGTGGGAGGGCAGTAACTGTGTGGAGGGAGGGTAATTGTGTGGGAGGGCAGTAACTGTGTGGAGGGAGGGTAATTGTGTGGGAGGGCAGTAACTGTGTGGAGGGAGGGTAATTGTGTGGGAGGGGAGTAACTGTGTGAAGGAAGGTAATTGTGTGGGAGGGCAGTAACTGTGTGGGAAAGGGGGGTAATTGTGTGGGAGGGCAGTAACTGTGTGGAGGGAGGGTAATTGTGTGGGAGGGCAGTAACTGTGTGGAGGGAGGGTAATTGTGTGGGAGGGCAGTAACTATGTGGAAGGAGGGTAATTGTGTGGGAGGGCAGTAAAATGTGTGGAAGGAGGGTAATTGTGTGGGGGGCAGTAACTGTGTGGAGGGGGGTAATTGTGTGGGAGGGCAGTAACTGTGTGGAGGGAGGGTAATTGTGGGGGGAGGGCAGTAACTGTGTGGAGGGAGGGTAATTGTGTGGGAGGGCAGTAACTGTGTGGAGGGAGGGTAATTGTGTGGGAGGGCAGTAACTGTGTGGAGGGAGGGTAATTGTGTGGGAGGGCAGTAACTGTGTGGGGGGAAAGGGTAATTGTGTGGGAGGGCAGTAACTGTGGGAGGGAGGGTAATTGTGTGGGGAGGGCAGAAAACTGTGTGGAGGGAGGGAAATTGTGTGGGAGGGCAGTAACTGTGTGGAGGAGGGTAATTGTGTGGGAGGGCGTAACTGTGTGGAAGGAGGGTAATTGTGTGGGAGGGCAGTAACTGTGTGGAGGGAGGGTAATTGTGTGGGAGGGCAGTAACTGTGTGGAGGGAGGGTAATTGTGTGGGAGGGCAGTACTGTGTGGGGGGAGGGAAATTGTGTGGGAGGGCAGTAACTGTGTGGAGGGAGGGTAATTGTGTGGGAGGGCAGTAACTGTGTGGAGGGAGGGTAATTGTGTGGGAGGGCAGTAACTGTGTGGAGGGAGGGTAATTGTGTGGGAGGGCAGTAACTGTGTGGAGGGAGGGTAATTGTGTGGGAGGGCAGTAACTGTGGGGAGGGAGGGTAATTGTGTGGGAGGGAGGAAGGGAGAGTAGCGTGTGAGTAGAGTACGCCAAGAGAGGATAAGTAAAAGAGAAAGAAGTTAACAAATACTCGCCCATCTACAGCCTCCTCCCTAAGCTCCCTGACAAATAACCCATATTTTATACAATTGTTTGTTGAAAGAAGAAAGACTAGTAGAGAGTCATACCTTCCTAGCACGAGTAAGCAGGCCTACTGCAGATTTAAGTTTGGCCCCAAAGTGGCTAGTTTACCGTATGCCCCATATCTATCCTGTGGACGGTAGTGCAAGAACATATGCGTGCACAAAATGGGCAAGGAACTCGGCACCAAAAACTTTTATAGTATGTCTGGATAGTCTACAATTTATATTTCACTTGTTGCAAGCAAATTTAGGATATATGCTTAAAAGGTCTGGTATATACTCCTTTATTCTTGTGTCCATAAAAGGTTTGGGCTAAGTATCTTTAATTTTCTGTCAGATACTTTGAATTTTTTGGGCATTTTTCCAACTATTTTTTCCAGCTTCATTTGGAAATTTTCCCCCTTTTAACCATTTTAAAGCTTTAAAAATCCCAAAAAAGGGTACCTTTTGCACAAGATTAAAAAAACATCAATAATTTTAACAAAAAAATCAGGAACGATCTATACAGTGTCAGGTTTTGTTTTAGTATATCAGTCCGTACCGGGAAAAAAAACTGTAAGAAAAATAACTCCCTTTACTCAAATGTTTGACTAAAATAATTCAGTAAACACTACTTTCTTCAAAACATTGGGATATAAAATGTGATAAAAAGCAACAATAAAATTGCAACGAAATAAAACCCCTTTATCCTTTTTAATTAAAATCAATCTTAAAAAGAAACAAAAAGTCCCCCAAAAAGTAATTCCCTTGATTTTTAAAAAAGAAAAAATATTTTAAATGATTAACACAGGAAAGTACACATAGCGTATCATTAAAAATAGGAATTATCAATGGTACTGCTTTGATCAAAATATTTTTTAAAACTATTTTATCTGTAAAAGCTTTATTTCTTATGTTATTTCAATGCACAGAGCAAAGGGGGAGAAGCCCCGGCTTGGGAAAAATGATCGGTTCGCGTCACTTCATAAGTTGACAAGAACGAGTAAATCGCAAAGGATGGAAAAAAAAACGATTGGAAAATGTTAATTTTGGTCAAAAGATTTTAATCGTAGTTCTGAATTAGGCCAAAAACAGGCTTTCCTACTCCTGGTTTTGAGTAGGATCACTTGATAATATCTTTTCAAGATCAAAATTAACAGATCCTAGTTCATTTTATTTTACATATTTGGGATTTACCTGCTTATATGCTATTGTGACCAACACTGAGCATGGCCCAGGTTAGCGGAGTAGTCAGCTCTGCATATACTGTTGTGAATGACACGAGTATAGTCTTGTGGTAAGAAGCTCGGGCTAGCAAAATAGTCAGCTCTGCGTGTACTACTGCACTCTGAGTGACACTGCACTTCCACATATACAAGGGATAACTGAAGTATAATGAACACTTGTTAATTCTCAGTAATAACCCACATAGAGACACTCAGGAGATTAATTGATCTGTGTATTTTGATCCCCTTCTGGGATCCTCTGCTGAAGAGGATCCCAGAAGGGGATTGAAATACTATATAGATCCATCTTCTGAGTTTTCCATGGGGAAGTGAAACAGAATTCTTCCTCCATAAACCATGCATGTCGTAAGAGGTGACTAAAATGCCAGGAGCAAGGGGCTAGTAACCCCTTCTCCTGTATATATTACTGAAGTTAAAAAGAGAAACTTTTGTCTTTCTTTTTGGGTTACCCCACCTCAGTGGGATATGGCCGGTTTGATGAAAAAAAAATATCTGAGTTTGTCTCCATGTTTGATACTGAGTATATAGAAGTTTTTGCCTTGACTTGCAATGTGCTACCTTCTGAATCACAGCTGCCCCAGTTACCTTACGTCATTCAAGTAAATTTGGCTGATACATCATAAATACTATGGTAAAAATTTTGGCTAACGACATGAACGAAAATTACGTATGACGTCTTTATAACAACAGAATTTGAGAGTTCAATGACTCTACCATTTATTAAATCAAGTACAAAATAAAAAATATATTGTACTGGCAACAGGTCATTCAATATATTAATGTCTACAATGAAAATCTATGAATCTTTTATATTACAAAATATTTAAACCTTATGGAAGGTATTTAGACAAAGGATAATGCATGGCCAACCACCGCATATGAATGTTAATCATTTATACAACATGTAAAATTTGATAAAAAAAAAATGTTAAAATGTTGCATCTCCAGAAAGGTTGTGCTAAATTAGTCTGGATTTAACTTCAACTGGCTGTAACATCACTTCACCTGACCAATTTAGAATCAATAGTCAGCAAAAATTGTGTACTGTATACGAGAGCCAGCGCCTCACCATACAGTCACTGGGATAACTTTATATAGTCGTGTGTTTAGCTGATATCTGGGATGCAGTTATCAATGATGGAAATGTCGTCAATGGCATCCATCAATTCCTGCAAAGTAAAAATTGATGATTACAAAATTTTTAATAATTAGTGAAAGTTTTTTTTTTTATTTTTTTAACAAGTCGGCCGTCTCCCACCGAGGCAGGGTGACCCACCGAGGCAGGGTGACCCACCGAGGCAGGGTGACCCACCGAGGCAGGGTGACCCACCGAGGCAGGGTGACCCAAAAAGAAAGAAAATCCCCAAAAAGAAAATACTTTCATCATCATTCAACACTTTCACCTCACTCACACATAATCACTTTTTGCAGAGGTGCTCAGAACACAACAATTTAGAAGCATAAACGTATAAAAATACACAATATATCTCTCCAAACTGCCAATATCCCGAACCCCTCATTCAGAATGCAGGCATTGTACTTCCCATTTCCAGGACTCAAGTCCAACTATATAAAAATAACTGGTTTCCCTGAATCCCTTCACTAAATATTACCCTGCTCACACTCCAACAGATCGTCAGGTCCCAAATACCATTCGTCTCCATTCACTCCTATCAAACACGCTCACGCACGCCTGCTGGAAGTCCAAGCCCCTCGCCCACGAAACCTCCCTTACCCCTTCCTTCCAACCTTTTCAAGGATGACCCCTACCCCGCCTTCATACTCCTACAGATTTAAATGCTCTCCATGTCATTCTACTTTGATCCATTCTCTCTAAATGACCAAACCACCTCAACAACCCCTCTTCAGCCCTCTATTACTTTTATTAACTCCACACCTTCTCCTAATTTTCACACTCCAAACTTTCTGCATAATATTTACACCACACGTTGCCCTTAGACAGGACATCTCCACTGCCTTCAACCGCCTCCTCGCTGCTGCATTCACAACCCAAGCTTCACACCCATATATCAAATAAATCAAATCAAAGTTTATTCTCTAAGGATTACAATGCAGGGTTTACAGATTTTGGTTATTGTGTGGCTTACATGTAATAAAATACTAATTACAGAGGGGGCCACTAGAACACCTAGCAAGGCTAGGGATTTCGGGTAAACTTAGATTAATTCGTAACCCTAAATTATTACAAATTGTGGAGTAAGTTGACTAAATACTAAGTGACTAAATACTAGTTTGTGAGTTTAGCAATGTGAATGCTTTTGTTTTGGCACAATACATAGTTTATATATTGGAGTACCACTGGCAAACTTGTGACTAGTTAGGAATCATTATTTTAAGATTAAGATACATATTTCTGTGCTTATAGTCAAATGGGTGAGTGAGTGTAAGTGTCAACCACCAGGTGGTATTCGTGTAGTTAGTTGACAGGGTGTATCAGGGAGACAAGATGTTTTCTAATGGTAGTTTTGAAAGTGATGAATGTGTCTGCAGTTCTAGAGTTTTCAGGTAGGGTGTTCCAAATTTTAGGGTATTTGACATACATTGAATTTTTGTAAAGGTTTAGTCGGACACGGGGAATGTCGCAGAGATGTTTGTGTCTGGTGTTATGCCTGTGGTTCTGTCACAACTATCAAAAAAGCATTTTAGGTCAAGGTTAATATTGGAATTTAAGGTCCTGTATATGTAGATTGCACAGTAGTAAGTGTGGATGTTCTGAACAGGGAGTAAGTTTAGATCTATGAAGAGTGGGGGGGGGGGAGTGTTGCAAGGGATGGGATTTAGTGATTATTCTTAATGCGGCTTTTTGTTGGGTTATTATTGGCTTTAGGTGTGTTGCTGCAGTTGATCCCCAAGCACAAATAGCATATGTAAAGTAAAAGGACACAAGTGCAACTAATGTGACATAATAATTATTGTGGCAACGTTTCGCTCTCCTGGAGAGCGAAACGTTGCCACAATAAATGTCACATTAGTTGCACTTGTGTCCTTTTACTTTACATATTGTCGGTAATTCTACCAACTTTATTACAAATAGCATAGGTGAGGTATGGATAAATGAGTGAATGGTGTAGTGTGAGAAGGGCATTTTGCGGAACGTAGTATTGTAACTTGGAGAGGATCCCAACTGTTTTGGATACTTTTTTTGCTATGTGTTGGATATGGGTGCTGAAATTCAGGTTGTTGTCGAGGTATAGGCCTAGGAATTTGCCCTCATTATGTCTGGCAATTAGAGTGCTGTCAATCTTAATGTTTAGTTGTGCAGCACCTACTCTGCTACCAAACATAATATAGTAGGTTTTGTCTGTGTTAAGTGTAAGTTTATTGGCTGTCATCCAAGTTGATATTTTGAGCAGCTCCTCATTAACATTGGTGTTGAGGGTGGCAAGATTAGGGTGAGAAATGACATAAGTCGTGTTGTCAGCAAAGAGAATGGGTTTCAGGTGTTGGGATACATTTGGAAGATCATTGATGTAGATGAGGAAGAGCAGGGGACCAAGGACACTTCCCTGTGGAACTCCAGTATCAAGTGGCCGTGCTGATGAGGCTGTGCCTTTAATGGTGACATACTGATATCTATTAGTAAGGTAGGATTTGAAATATGCAAGCGCATGGCCTCTTATACCATAACGGTCAAGTTTGTGGAGTAGGATGCCGTGGTCCGTGTCAAAAGCTTTTCTTAGGTCAATAAAAATTCCTAGTGGATATTCCTTATTTTCCAATGCTGTGTAAAGCAGATCAAGCATTTTTACAATTGTATCATTAGTGCTTTTATTTTTCCTGAAACCAAATTGGCAGGGGTTGGGTATGTTTTGTGCCGTTATAAATGAATAAGTGTTGGTACTACTATACCTTCATACATTCCCTTCTTCGCCTCCATAGATAATGTTTTTTGTCTCCACATATACCTCAATGCACCACTCACCTTTTTTCCCTCATCAATTCTATGATTAACCTCATCCTTCATAAATCCATCCGCCGACACGTCAACTCCCAAGTATCTGAAAACATTCACTTCTTCCATACTCCTCCTCCCCAATTTGATATCCAATTTTTTTTTACCTAAATCATTTGATACCCTCATCACCTTACTCTTTTCTACGTTCACTTTCAACTTTCTACCTTTACACACACTCCCAAACTCGTCCACTAACCTTTGCAATTTTTCTTTACAATCTCCCATAAGCACAGTATCATCAGCAAAAAGCAACTGTGTCAATTCCCATTTTGTATTTGATTCCCCATAATTTAATCCCATCCCTCTCCCGAACACCCTAGCATTTACTTCTTTTACAACCCCATCTATAAATACAGTGGAACCCCGCATAACGATTACCTCCGAATGCGACCAATTATGTTAGTGTATTTATGTAAGTGCGTTTGTACGTGTATGTTTGGGGGTCTGAAATGGACTAATCTACTTCACAATATTCCTTATGGGAATAAATTCGGTCAGTACTGGCACCTGAACATACTTATGGAGTGAAAAAATATCGTTAACCGGGGGTCCACTGTATATTGAACAACCATGGTGACATTACACATCCCTGTCTAAGACCTACATGATCTGTCAATGATGCAATAAGATCACAGTAAACAGGTGATATCACAATATGCAGAACAACCACTGTGAAAAAATAGTGAACTTTCAAGTGTTTTCGTGATTTCTTGCATTATCAAGAAACTGTATTATCTGCCCCCCCCCCCCAGGGAGGTTCATAGACACTGGTGAGGGGCTCTTGATTAGGGAACTGGATCTGTGCTCATTTCCCCTGAATTGATGTCTGAAAGCCTTCCACCCCCCACAGGTACTGTATAATCCGTAAGGGTTTAGCGCTTCCCAATGATATTAATAATAACGTATTATACCGCCATATAAAAGTTAACCTAAGGGACTGAAGGACTATGAACATTATTTTTTCTTTCAAATACAGCAGTCGCCCCGTATCGTAGGGGATACTTTCCCAAAGACGTACCGTGGATACCAGAAACCGATGATAGTAGCGAACCATATACATAACTTGTTTTCACTTACATATCTACAATAAAATTTAATTGATAAATTGAGCACAATAAGTCTAGAATTAGTACTTTGTCACTGATGTGAAACATTTCACAGCTTCTCTTAGGCTATGAAGAACTGCCACCATCACTACTTTTGCACTCGGGTGCCATTTTTAAACCCTTTTGACTGTTTCCGAGTATAATAGGGTCTTACGAGCCAATGTTTCTGACGTATTTATACGTACAAATTCTAGCGGCTTCAAATCAAGCGCCAAAGGCCTGGTAGGCCTACACGAGAGAGAATGGGTCTCAGTGGTCGGTGTGCACCCTTTTGAAAAAAATCTGGGCCCCAGCGGTGCATTGTGGGAATGCCATGTTGTTAGCCCATTTTCATCATGCCTCTCGGTAAGAAGTTCCTCACTCCTCGGCGGATTGGAGGTCTTTTGTTCCCAAGTGATAGCTCTAACAGCGTAAAAATGTCAGTGACAGTGAATTCCAGGGTTTTGAAGCGAGTGTTTACCGGAAAAAGTGCCAGGATAACGTAATTAGTGATGAAAACCAGAGGACCCACACCTTCCACCTTGGTGCTGGCGGCTTGTTCACGTTCACGTTCGCCTGTACCAGGACGAAGAGGAAAACTATTTGGTCGTGTACAACACCCGTGTTAGCGTGATAGGTGATTTCAAGGTCATTGAAAGCAGTTCTAGTGACAGTGAGAGTGAATATTCCCCAGTGAAGCGGCAGTTTGTAAGGACGTAGCATGCGGTCGGGTTTAGTGTTTCATATGTTGTTCCAAGGGGAAGGAGAAAACTCTGGGGCACATCCGTGGCCCTACACCATGACCTGATAGTGAAATGACGATTTTGTAACGATGGGTATAAAATGGTGATAGTGAGGGGGAGGCAGTGGTGGTGATAGTGAGGGTGGCATGGCAGGTGGCACCATCAGCGGGCCACGCTATACCACGCTGCTGACGCAGCAAAAACAACCAGCCTCACCTCCCCCACACTCCACAACCTGCACCACCACAACCTGCACCACCACAACCTGCACCCCCAAAAACCTGCACAACCACAACCTGCACAACCACAACCACAGTACAATATCCAGACCCCCCAGCAGACCGCATCTGGGATTGGCAGGACGGCGACAAGTTTGTTCCCAGCCCCCATGACTTTATGAAACACAAAGTGGAATAAAGCCATCTTGCCCACTTGGGAACAATGCCAGTGAACTGGACTGCTTTGAGTTATTCTTCGATGAACCCCTGATGGACATCATTGTCAGGGAAACAAACACATACTGTGATTACACCATGGCAAATACAATTCTCACCAAATCACGGCTACACAAGTGGAAGGAGACAACTGTGGCAGAGATGTATCTGCTTTTTGCGACAAAAATGCTTATGCCACATGTGTATAAGCCACTGTACCACATATGGGCAACAGAACGCCTGATTTCAACTCCAGGTTTTAGTGCCCATTATAGGTGTCAATCGTTTCCTGATACTGTTCGTATGTTACACTTTTCAGACCAAAACCAGTTGACAGAACCGACAGGTTTATATAAGATCAGAAATGTGTTTATGTACTGAAACAAAAGTGCTGCATGCATTTTTACCCCTTTAGGAAGCTTGTTATTGATGAGTTTCCCTTTATTTTATTCAAAGGAAGACTCTCATTCAAGCAATATTTACCAAGCAAGAGGAACGCTTTGGTATAAAGCTATTTGTACTGTGTGATTGCAGAGTGGTCTAGTTTTGGATATCATTGGGGTATACTGGCAGTTATACTTTGAGAGATACCATGAAGTTATTGGTTATCTTGGTGATGTAGTTCGAACAATGATGGAACCATATTTGGTAAGGGGGCATATGTTATTTTTGATAACTGGTACACAAACCCCTTACTCAGTGATTTCTTGAGAATGAACTTGACAGATGTGTTGGCACACTGTAGACAGCCTTTTTACTGTCTGCACAGACAGCCCATGCTGTCTGTGCATTGGTAATTGTAAAACATATGCCAAGGGTTTAATGCTGGCACCCCGCAGAGGTGAGGTGCAAGCTTTGCTGCCAATGACATCATGGCATTTCGGTGGCATGACAAACGTGATGTCACATTGACATCAGTTCACAGAAAACGAAAAGGTTTCCCAGTGGGCAGGGACAACAGAGGACCATGAACCATTCTAAAGCCTGCAGCTGTCATGGATTTCAACCTCAAAAATGCGCTTAGTGGACAAATGTGACATGCAGATTGGGTTTTGCAGGGCTGTGTACGCAAGAGTTTATAAGTGGTATATAAACTTTTTTTCCATCTTGTTATCTCTATGCTAAATGCTTATAACATATACAAGTTGAAGACCAACAAAACACCAAAAAATGGTGAATTTAGCTGTCAGTAATCAGACAAATAATTGCAAAGTACCAAGGGGCAACTCCTGCAATAGACCAGCGCCCCCAGACGTCATCTCGTTTCAGGCCTGGTGATCATACCCCATACAACTGCCTCCTACTACTGCCAAGAAAAATGCTCAGAAAGAGGTGTTATGTATGTAACATCCACAAAACGCCAACAAAACACAGAGACACTCGTTTTATGTGTGAGGAGTGTGAAGTGCCCTCTGCATATACCCATGTTTCAAAGAGTTCCACAAGCTGCAGCAGTTCTAGGAAAGTGTTTAGTGACTGTACATATGTTATATATTATGGAAAAAATAGTAATAAACATTTTTGTATTGTTTGTTTGTGTAAACAAAAATGTTTTTCCAAACTAATAGTGATAAAGTTTGTTCTGTTATTGTGTTGAAACAATGAGTGTATATTTGAACAATGCACCTTTACATTGGTCTCACAGGCCACATAAGTTACCTGGAACAGAAAAATACAGTGGACCCCCCCTTAACGATCACCTCAAATGCGACCAATTATGTAAGTGTATTTATGTAAGCGCGTTTGTACGTGTATGTTTGGGGGTCTGAAATGGACTATTTTACTTCACAATATTCCTTATGGGAAAAAATTCGGTCAGTACTGGCACCTGAACATACTACTGGAATGAAAAAAATTGTTAACCCGGGGGTCCACTGTATTGAAAAATGCAAGAAACCTTTGAATTAGAGTAAATTTAAAAAAATACCGGGTGGGGGGGCGGTCGCCGCTGTTGCCCTACCACATCACTTTCTGCAACTTTGCGGCTCTATATCTCGGTAAGTACTGATGGCAAAAATTTTTTTTTAGCTTAAAACACTACTAAAAATATTCCTAACATTTTCATAAGAAAAAATAATTTTTTTTTTTTTCGAATATTTGGCAACATAGAAGACAGTTTCAGAGAGGGGGCCTGAAACAGTCAAAGGGTTAAGAAAAATTAAGGTTTTTTTGGGGCCGATAAACCAGGATAACTGAAACTGGGATACCAAATCCGTGGATACGGGGGACCTACTGTTTGGTCGTCTCCCCCCAAAGGGAGGGTGACCTAAAAAGAAAACACTTTCACCATCATTCACACTACCACTATCTTGCCAGAGGTGTGCAGATATGACAATTTACTTTTAATAATCCATACAGGAGAATGGGGTTACTAGCCCATTTCTCCATCTTTACCAAATTAAATAAAAGTTCACTACGTGCATGAAATAAACGTATACAAAAAAACACAATACATATTATAATAAAGGTTAAAATTCAGTCAAATTGTATGGGTTAACACCATGATGGTCCTTGTGGCAGCACGAGAAGAAAACGTTGACCTGTGTAGCCTCTCCTGTGTAAGACTGAGAATTAATGTAGAAAATACATATGTTTCACTCTCCCTATACCTTCAGAATTAAAAAGCCTTCACTCTCCCATACTTACATAAGAACATAAGAAAGAAGGAACACTGTAGCAGGCCTACTGACCCATGCGAAGCAGGTCCATGTTACCCCTCCGGCTCAGCGCAATGACCCACCTAGTCAGGTCACTTCCACTTAAGGAAGCTTTCACTCTCCCATACTTTCTAATCTTCTAAAAATTAATATGAGCCATCATTAACTTTGCACTTTGTAACTACTGAATTTCACATCCTACATTGATTTCCATACAGTTTCAAAAATAAATTATGTTCATGTTTTATTTTTTCAACAATTGGCCGTATCCCACCAAGGCAGGGTGGCCCAAAAAGGAAAACAAAAGTTTCTCTTTTTAAATTTAGTATTTTTATACAGAAGAAGGGGTTACTAGCCCCTTGACTCCCAGATTTTAGTTGCCTCTTACAACACGCATGGCTTACGGAGGAAGAATTCTGTTCCACTTCCCCATGGAGGTAAGAGGAAATAAACAAGAACAAGAACTAGAAAGAAAATAGAAGAAAACCCAGAGGGGTGTGTATATATATGCTTGTACATGTATGTGTAGTGTGACCTAAGTGTAAGTAGAAGTAGCAAGACGTACCTGAAATCTTGCATGTTTATGAGACAGAAAAAAGGACACCAGCAATCCTACCATCATGTAAAATAATTACAGGCTTTCGTTTTACACTCACTTGGCAGGACAATAGTACGTACCTCCCTGGGTGGTTGTTGTCTACCAACCTACTACCCACGGACGGTAGTTACCTCCCTGGGTGGTTGCTGTCTACCAACCTACTACCACAGGACGGTAGTACCTCCCTGGGTGGTTGCTGTCTACCAACCTACTACCACAGGATGGTAGTACCTCCCTGGGTGGTTGTTGTCTACCAACCTACTACCACAGGATGGTAGTACCTCCTGGGTGGTTTGCTGTCTACCAACCTACTACCACAGGATGGTAGTACCTCCCTGGGTGGTTGCTGTCTACCAACCTACTACCACAGGACGGTAGTACCTCCCTGGGTGGTTGCTGTCTACCAACCTACTACCACAGGATGGTTAGTACCTCCCTGGGTGGTTGTTGTCTACCAACCTAACTACCACAGGATGGTAGTACCTCCCTGGGTGGTTGCTGTCTACCAACCTACTACCACAGGATGGTAGTACCTCCCTGGGTGGTTGCTGTTCTACCAACCTACTACCACAGGACGGTAGTACCTCCCTGGGTGGTTGCTGTCTACCAACCTACTACCACAGGATGGTAGTACCTCCCTGGGTGGTTGTTGTCTACCAACCTACTACCACAGGATGGTAGTACCTCCCTGGGTGGTTGCTGTCTACCAACCTACTACCTATATGTTTATATTTATTAACACTTAATATTTATTTTATGTACCTTATCATATAGAAAATTCATCAAACAAAATTTTATAATAACCACACAACCAATCGGGTTGAAACCCATGGAAATTGAGTCATAAAACTCCAGGTCAGTGTGTATGTTTTACGAACCACTCGCCACAGTTTCAAATGCCACCCGTTCCATGGTTTATTTACAATTGTGGTATCACGATTACGTGGGTTGAAATTTCACACTGTAATGCATTTCAAGGCAGAAAATACAGTAAGCCCTTGACTTCTGTATTGTGTATATTATTATTATACACAATTCAGGTCCCCAATGCACTTGTAAGTCAAGGATTTCCTGTAGAGCAAACTATTCAACACTACTTACCACAGGGTCATGTGACTTCCTCCTCAGTATTAGACTTCTGATCTACTTCTCTTCTCTCTTCAATGTGTCGTCGACACATGGGGCAATAATCTAATTGTAGAGCACACCTGTTGCAGAACCCTCTGTATGAGGGAAATAAAATTTGTAATATTGTTGGTAGAATTACCGATAATATGTTAGGTAATAGGACACAAGTGCAACTAATATGATATTTCATTGTGGCGTTGTTTCAGTCTTCAGGAGCTTTGTCAAGCTTAAAGCTCATGGAGAGTGAAATGTTGCCACAAGAAAATGCCACATTAGTTGCACATGTGGCCTTTTACCAAACAAAATAATATTTATACTTGATAATACAAGGACAAAAGTAGGAATACCAGAGTACAGTGGACCCCCGGTTAACGATATTTTTTCACTCCAGAAGTATGTTCAGGTGCCAGTACTGACCGAATTTGTTCCCATAAGGAATATTGTGAAGTAGATTAGTCCATTTCAGACCCCTAAACATACACGTACAAACGCACTTACATAAATACACTTACATAATTGGTCGCATTGGGAGCTGATCGTTATGCGGGGGTCCACTGTATAGTGGTACCAACTTTTTTTTTTTATGGGTGTGAGGCATGAGATTTAAACATTGCAGTGAGCAGGAGGCTGGAAGAAGAGATGTTATGTCTGGAAGCAATGTGTGGTGTGAATATTATGCAAAGAAGTTGGAGCATAGAAATTTAGAAAGGATGAAGAGGGAAAGGATATGTTTTCTTGGGTGAAAGGAGAGGCAAGGGACATACCAGAACTGTAGGAAGGAGGACAAAAAGGAGGTGTTAAGTGCTAGAGACTTGAGCATCCAGCAGGATTGTGCAAGCATGTCTGATAAGAGTGAGTGGAGACCTCTGGTTTTTAATACGTGATGTACTGTTGGAGTGTGAGAAAGATAAAATTTATGATAGGGGTTCAGGATAAACTGGTCAGCCAGACTTGAGTCGGGGAGGTGGGAATTTACAGGCCCCTGTACTTGAAGGTTGAGTGGGGATTTTAAAGTTTTTTGGAGGTGGGAAGTACTTTCCCTTGATCTGAAGGATGATTGGAATGTTAAAATTTTGGGGAGGTGGGAAGTACAGTGTGTATTGAAGGATGAGTGGGTGTTACAGTTCTGGGGGTTTGGGAAGTCCCAGTATGTATCTGAAGGTTTGAGTGAGAATGTTACAGTTTGGGAAAGGGGGGGGAAAGTACAGTACCTTTACTCTAAAGGAGGGAGTGACGGGTTTTACGGTTCTGGAGGGGGGGAAGTACGTAACTTTTATCTAAAGGGGATGGTGAGGATTTTTAACCAGTTCTGGAGGGGGGGAAGTACTTTGCCTGTCTCTAAAAGGGAATGATTTGAGGTGTTACAGTTCTGGAGGGGGGGAAGAACGGGTCCCTTTGTATTCTAAAGGGATGAGAAAAGGAGGGTTAATTTTTGGGGACGGTTTGGGAAGTACAGTACCTGTACTTGGGGGGAAAAAAGGTGAGGATGTTAATTTTTCTGGGGGGGGGAAAAGTAAAAGAACCTGTTACTCGGGAAGGATGGTGAAAATGTTCCGTTTGGAGGTGGGAAAGAAACGGGAAAACCTGTACTCTAAAGGGGTTGAGTGAGGTTTGTTCAGTTTGGAGGTGGGAAGTACAGAAAAATGTACTTGAAGGATGATTTTAGGATGTTAAGTTCTGGAGGGGGGGAAAGTACGTGCCTGTACTCTAAAGGATGAGTGAGGATGTTACAGTTCTGGAGGGGAAGTACATTTACCTGTACTCTGAGGTGAGTAGGATGTTACATTCTGGAGGTGGGAAGTACAGTCCTGTACTCTGAAGGATGAGTGAGGATGTTACAGTTCTGGGGTGGGAGTACAGTACCTGTACTCTAAAGGTTTGAGTGGGGATGTTACAGTTCTGGAGGTGGGAAGTACAGTCCTGTACTCGAAGGGAGTGGGGAAATGTTACAGTTCTGGGGTGGGAAAGTACAGTAACTGGTACTTGAAGGATGAGTGAGGATGTTACGTTCTGGAGGTGGGGAGTACAGTCTGTACTCTGAAGGAAAAGTGAGGATGTTACGTTTTTGGTTGGGAATACAGTATGTCTTTCTGAAGGTTGTAGTGAGATTTTTCAGTTGGGTTTTACAGTCTGTATTGAAGGAGAGGAGGATGTTTACAGTTCTGGAGGTGGGAAGTACAGTACTGTACTGAGGATGAGTGAGGATGTTACAGTTCTGGAGGTGTGGAGTACAGTACCTGTACTCTGAAGGATGAGTGAGGATGTTACAGTTCTGGAGGTGGGAAGTACAGTACCTGTTACTCTGAAGGATGAGTGAGGATGTTACAGTATCTGTAGGTGGGAAGTACAGTACCTGTACTCTGAAGGATGAGTGGAGATGTTACAGTTCTGGAGGTGGGAAGTACAGTACCTGTACTCTGAAGGATGAGTGAGGATGTTACAGTTCTGGAGGTGGAAGTACAGTACCTGTACTGAAGGATGATGTGAGGATGTCACAGTTCAGAAGGTCCATATGATGTGAGATGTCAATGTACTTCTGACATAAGAGATATTGAATAATGATGGTGAACATTTTCATGGTTAGGTCACCAGACCTCAGCAGTAGTGGCTGTTGTGGTTAAAAACAAAAAAGGATAAAATAGGAGAGAAGGGAGAGGGGAAGGGGAAAGAGAGGAAACAGGAAGAAAGAGGGGGAGAAGAAGAAAAGAGATGGAGAGAGAGAGAGAGAGATGGAGGAGAGAAGGTAGCCATAGTAGGAGTTAATTTTTAAGATTAAAGAAAGTATTCCATAATGATTATAAAGGACAAAAAGTTACAATACCGTGACTGGTACAATACCGTGACTGGTACAATACTGTGACTGGTACAATACCCTGACTGGTACAATACTGTGACTGGTACAATACCCTGACTGGTACAATACCGTGACTGGTACAATACCCTGACTGGTACAATACCCTGACTGGTACAATACCCTGACTGGTACAATACCCTGACTGGTACAATACCCTGACTGGTACAATACCCTGACTGGTACAATACCCTGACTGGTACAATACCCTGACTGGTACAATACCCTGACTGGCACAATACCCTGACTGGCACAATACCGTGACTGGCACAATACAGTGACTGGCACAATACCGTGACTGGCACAATACCGTGACTGGCACAATACCGTGACTGGCACAATACCGTGACTGGCACAATACAGTGACTGGCACAATACAGTGACTGGCACAATACCGTGACTGGTACAATACCGTGACTGGTACAATACCGTGACTGGTACAACACACATACATGACGTTTCAGTCCAACTTCGACCATTTACACACATACATGACGTTTCAGTCCAACTTCGACCATTTACACACATACATGACGTTTCAGTCAACTTCGACCATTTACACACATACATGACGTTTCAGTCCAACTTCGACCATTTACACACATACATGACGTTTCAGTCCAACTTCGACCACTTACACACATACATGACGTTTCAGTCCACTTCGACCATTTACACAATACATGACGTTTCAGTCCAACTTCGACCACTTAAACACATACATGACGTGTTCAGTCCAACTTCGACCATTTACACACATACATGGTTGTCAGTCCAACTCGACCATTTACACACTACATGACGTTTCAGTCCAACTTCGACCATTTACACACATACATGACGTTTCAGTCCAACTTCGACCATTTACACACATACATGACGTTTCAGTCCAACTTCGACCATTTACACACATACATGACGTTTCAGTCCAACTTCGACCATTTACACACATACATGACGTTTCAGTCCAACTTCGGCCCAAGTAGGAACATGTCGACATAAGCTTCTCTCCTATGTGCGAGTTATTTGTGTATAATGACCATAAACACACTAAAGCACAGTGACTTTTGTTATCTTCTGGAATGTGTGTTTTACGTCATTACCTGTGTGCACACGGAAGGAGGGTAATCGCAGCACTCTCATCAAAACAGAGAGTACACGCTCCTTCTTCAACGCTCATCGCTCGCAGCTTCTGCAGTTGGATATGTCTGTAAAATATGTAAATGCTAAAGGCCATCATTAAAAAATAAAATCGTCTTGAGGTTTGCCTTCCCCAAGGAGAATAATAATATAGTTATAACAATTATTTTTATATGCAATTTTTTTGTATTGCATCAAATTAACAGAGTATCACCTTGCTCAAATTTAAGCAATAAAAATCAATTCACTGAACCATCTAACAAAATAATAAAAGAGTTTCAAAACGTATTATTATTGTTATTACTATTATTTTTTTTATTTAACACAACATTCTCCAGGGACGCTGTAAGTTAGGATTTAGTGCCTCTCGATTATAATAAAATAATAAACATCGAAGCAATCTTTCACTATTTTGCTTGGGGTAACAAATCTCATCATGTGATCTCACAGTACAATGTAGTCTAACAATTGTACTCTTAAAAACTCATAATCATAACCTACAGGCAAATGTGTTTGCCAAAACAAGAATTTGGGCCCCCTTGACACTAGTGATACAAGGACTACACATACACACCATTATACAAAAAATACACCTACCCAGCATAGACATTTCACACAACATATTGTGTATCTACCTCAGCAATGCTGAATATAATTCCACTTTTTTTTTCAAAGTCCTTTTTTCACAAATACAGAGTGCACTCTTTCTTCTTTCAACGCACTGGCCATATCCCACTGAGGCAGGGTGACCCAAAAAGAAAAAAGAAAGCTTCTCTTCTTAACTTTAGTAATGTATACAAGAGAAGGGGTTACTAGCACCTAGCTCCTGGCATGTCAGTCGCCTCTTACGACACACATGGCTTATGGAGGAAGAATTCTGCTCCACTTCCCTATGGAAATAAGAAGAAATAAACAGGAACAAGAACTAGTAAGAAAACAAGAAAACCCAGATGGGTGTGTATATATATGCTTGTACATGCATGTGTAGTGTGATCTAAGTGTAAGTAGTAGTAGCAAGACGTAACTGAAATCTTGCATATTTCTTCTTTTCTTCTTTCAACAAACTGGCTGTATCCCACCAAGGCGGGGGTGGCCCAAAAAGAAAATCAAAAATTTCTCTTTTCGAATTTAGTAATTTATACAGGAGAAGGGGTTACTAGCCCCTTTCTCCTGGCATTTTAGTTGCCTCTTACAACACGCATGGCTTACGGAGGAAAAATTCTTTTCCACTTCCCCATGGAGATAAGAGGAAATAAACAAGAACAAGAACTAGAAAGAAAATAGCAGAAAACCCAGAGGGGCGTGTATATATGTGCTTGTACATGTATGTGTAGTGTGACCTAAGTGTAAGTAGAAGTAGCAAGACGTACCTGAAATCTTGAATGTTCATGAGACAGAAAAAAAAGACACCAGCAATCCTACCATCATGTAAAAAAATTCCAGGTTTCCGTTTTACACTCGCTTGGCAGGACGGTAGTACCTCCCTGGGTGGTTGCTGTCTACCAACCTACTACCACAGGATGATAGTACCTCTCTGTATGGTTGCTGTCTATATGCTCTCTGCCAATCCCTGGGTACCCACCAACCACTCCAACACAATATTTCCCCCTACTTTTAACATCTGTCATGATCCCATCAGTTCCAGCTGCTTTACCCCCTTTCATTCTACGTAATGCCTCACGTACCTCCCCCACACTTACATCCTGCTCTTCTTCACTCCTAAAAGATGGTATACCTCCCTGGCCAGTGCATGAAATTACCGTCTCCCTTTCTTCCTCAACATTTAAAAGTTCCTCAAAATATTCTCGCCATCTACCCAATACAGTGCCTCCATCTCCCCATCTACTAACTCCACTACTCTGTTTTTAACTGACAAATCCATTCGTTCTCTAGGCTTTCTTCGAGTCGAGTCTTGTTTAACTCACTCCAAAATTTTTTCTTGTGTTCATTAAATTTTCTTGCCTCTCCCACTCTTTCATCCACTCATGAACTTTATATTTAATATCACGCTAATTTCTTCCTTAGACTCAAATTTTTACATTAGAACCCGATTCTCTGTACTCGAACTTTTAATTTAATTTTTACAGGACCTACCTGAAGATATTTTAAACATCAACAAACAACAGCAGCAGCTGAATTACTTCCAATTTGCTCTTTCTACTATATTATCAAAATTTTTGCATTTTCTTTTATATTTTGAAGTGGATATTTCTGGCTTGTCAGTAATTTTGTCAATAAGCTGTTGACAGTTACCCCAATCTGGTTATGACTATAAAGTCCACAGTGTGGGTGAATTATTATTATTATAATCAAAAAGAAGTGCTAAGCCACAAGGACTATACAGCAGTGTGGGTGAAACAGTCGGCACTTTATACCATTTATCTGCATCGGGTAACAGTGTCATGGAGAGGAAAGAGTTGTAACATACAATACTGCAATGCTTATTTTAATAACGGGGTTTTTTTTTTTTTG